GACATCATCGACGAACAAAGTAATAAAATAGTTGACTCCACAATGCTTTTGCAGCTGTTATTTTCTGGCAAATACAAATCCATAGTTCTCAAGATTTTTTTTATGAAAAAATTAGGAATTTGCATGTTTGGTCTACTATTGATAACATTGTTAATGTTTATTAGCGAAATACCATTGTAACTACTTGTACTGGAAATGTGCAGGACAAGTGTTTTTGTATCGTGTACCCTGGCTGAGGAAAATTTTCTGATCGCTATCGATCTTTACCCTACATGGTAGAGTAGAATAACCTTTCAGATCACTAACTTGTGCCAAATTGTGTGAAAACGATCTGTGGACGCGAAGCAAATATTAGTGATAACAGACAAAGAATACATCAGTGACTATGAAGAGATGCGTCCATAGCATATTATTTTATATTATAAAGACTAGTTCGATTATCGAAATAGTTTGCAATTAGCTAACTTAAGTAATTAATGAACAAATGACTTGGTTTTATCAAGTATCTGAAAATTATATCAATTATATCATCTAGATTAGTATTAAAATTAATCGATTAATGCTTTTTTGTACATCATAATACGATTGTTATAGAATTTTGAGTGCATGGCAATGTCAACAATGTTCAAGTTTAACAAGTTGTTTCATTTGGCGCTAGAAATTTTCTTTTATACTGCATATCATGTTTTTGAAAAATTTACATTCAAGAATAATTTTTAGAAATATTCTGCTAGAGAACATTTTTTCTAGGAAAATCTTTTGAAAAATTAGCCGTGTGCTGATCGTTTGAATAAATGAATTAATTACTTTATGTAAGTATGGATTTTTCAATGATTTCTTTGATAAAAATTAAAGCAGGCGTATAAGACAAAAATCTTTATTAATTGCATCGAGCTACTTGAGTTTAGCATTATAATGAACCAAATGTCTTTTTTAATAACTAAATAACATTTACTTGATGTTTATTTGAAACAGGCCTGTCATTTCAGCAATTCATGAATACAAACAACAAAAATAATATAGGAATACTTTTGACTACAAACAGAGTGTTTGTTCAGTTTGTTCAATAACACAATCAATCATCTCTCCAAACTTTTGTGATTCATGTGCTTCAGCAATGGCCCAAATTACAAGAAAAAGGCATCTTAAAAGATTTGAAAAACGTATCACAGCCTCATGATGGCCATATTTGTATAGAAGATATCGCCATGTTAAATCAGTATACATATCTTGAATAGGTAAAATCGCTTTGATATGTGTCAAATTAATCTGAACATTTTTTCTATATACAGTAAAGTTGATTGTAGAGAAAGCAAGTATTGCAAGTACTAATTTAATAAATGTATTATCTGGATCAAGTTGATCAATAACACGTTTAGTGAAGATTGCTGCAGATGGCTGAAATATCATTTCAGCAGATTTATAGAAAGGTGGATAATCAAATAATTTGTACTGACGTAATGTAAACATGCTGCCAATACCTGATGTATATTCTACTGTAGCTCGAAGTAATGTTGTACGACCATGACTAGATAATGAGAGAAAATTACGATTCTTCTCGAACATGCGTTGAACTTCACGTTTCATTGACGTAAAAAAGTCAAGAACTGAGAAATGTCTGAAACGTAACTTGAGTGGTAATCGATTTTGTTCTTTTAGAAAATTTTCGACAAATGTATATCCACTATTTTCATCAAAGCAATGAACTAAATTTGATAAAAGATTCCATTGACCCATACTTAATACTGATTGACCAAATTGTAAGAGATTTAATGTTGGAATCTAAGAAGAATCGATAAGGAAAGGTTATTTTTAATAAGCGATTTCTTAGAAATACATAAAATTTGGCCAAACAATCTCGAGATTATCTTGAAGACTTCAGATTTATTTCTTCTATTTCTTGCTAAGTATTTATATAAATATTATTCGTTTGAAACTCTAACCAAGAATCCGATACGTAGAAGTAAACAGTAATCAAAGGTTTTGTATGAGTGAATCGCGTAAGTATTGTACGGTTGGTGATTGAAGAATGTTTTGTTCATAAAAGAGATTCTGCTCAACAGTTTTTAAAATTCTTTTTATTATCTAGCTGTTTCAGAACTAGTGATTCACATATGAAAATCAAGAACGTTCCATCTCAAATGAATGCTGAGATATACATATATCGAACAAGACCAAAAACAGTTGTTTTTGACTCCACATGGAGAAAGGATCATCTTTTTTCTCTCATTGTTATAAACTTGTTTTTAAAAGTTTTCTAGAACTTCTCGTAGTTTGAAAAGCAGCCTTTTCAGAATCAAAAGTGAAGACTAACAAGAGTATAGGACACCAGTGAATTTCATGTACTTACAGGATAAATGTTTACTTTTATAATAGCTTGTACTTATAGTACAATAAATTTCAAAAAAACCATGGAAAAGGAAATAAAAAATTCATTTCCCGAAAAGTTGATGACGAGGACATCTTCGGTGTACTCGAGTTTCTGTTTTAGCAAATAAGCGAAATACAAAACGTACATATGTAACCTTGTAGAGAAGTCCGCACGTTATCAGAATATATAATTACCTTTGTAAGAATCTTAAGTTTAACTATTGTCTTTGAGAAGGATACATGCATAGGTTGATTAGGCATTAAAAGAGGTGAAAAAAGAAGAACAAAGAGAATACATGCTAAAGACAATACGAACTAATATAACTGTCACAGATTATAACCAAAAAAGTCTTATTGAAATTTTATTATTTTGATATTAGTCAAAGAATAAGATAACAGCTCATAAAAGTAGAGGGTCATTTTTACTATCAGTCTATATAGAGAGAAACTTTCTTTGAACTTTTTATAAGGAACTAAAGTATATTCGTTATTATTCTTGGTATACCCTAAGTATTAATTTAATTCGATATCGAGTTGACATTTTTGAGATAATACCTATAAATCACTATTCTAACACAATACTTCCGGTTATTTAGATGAGTTGATCGATTGAAAAGAACTAATTGTCATACTTATGAAAATATGTCAGTGCAATCATATGTTGAGTCCCTCGGATGGATATTGGACTTGATTGGATCAAAATCCAGATTCGGCATCGACCCAATGGTATCTACTTTGGAAATAACACCCAATTATGACTTGATGAGAATAAGATCATCGTTAAGATTGTTTGAGAACTATGCAGAGTCTGTTTGAAGCACAACTGAGTATGACTATCAGACTTAGAATAAAACCTTCTGTTAAAATTACTAGTCCAGGTCTGGACGTGAAACATGTTGTACACACATTGGGTTTGGGTCTGGGTACCAGAATGTTCGATTCAATAGGTTCTACTCCTCCCATCCCTCCCATATTAGAGGACCCCTTTTGGCAAAAAGTTTGAAAAACGTATTAAAAGACCCGTATGTTTTAATCTACCAAAAAAATTTTTCAAAAGTTTTTTTCTATTTTCATATCTAAATATGCCGATAAAAAGGTTGTCAGCCTCATCCGATGATTGGGAGATACTCCCTATTCATTTGAAGAGAATCAGGAGAAGTTTGATTTTGCATGTTCCTCCTTGAACACCGTCGTTCACTCCATGTCATTTTATTTTTTATTATCCTAAAATGAGATTATACCAGTTTTAATAAAAAAGAGTTGAACAAAAAGTTGAAATACTATGATTCATATGTTCATTGAGATTCTTTTAGCTGTTTATCGATTCTTTCTTTGCACTCGAGCTGTTTAACTGCTAGACTCAAATTTTTTGCGCTAATTAGTGTTTGGACAAAGCCATCAACATGATTAAGTATACTGATAGGAGTTCATAAAATTCTGATTAAAAATACTATAGGAGTTCGCCGTACTAACTTTTAATTATCACTTTAATTTAATTAGAATATTATACATGATTTCGACGAGTATGAATAGAAGCCCTATTCGCTGAGAAAAGTACTATATGCCACTCATACAATCTCCTTTTTATGCAGATTTCTGTCGACTTTTTCCATATCTAAAACTTGTAATTTTTCTAGTACATATGTGCACATCTCTGTACTTTCAAGAGCTTTAATAGATTTTTGGTTTCTTCCGTAGATATTAACGTATACTCGGAAGACGAAACTTACGACGGTCACAGTAATCTAATCGAATAAGTACTGTTTTGATGATACTAGAAAAAGCTTCTAACGCAATCTTTAAGGAAGTAAAATTTGAAACACGATGTAGTTGTTATTATTCATCACATGAAAATTGTTTTATTCGATTTATTTTGGGAGACATTGCTTCATCATTCTTTACTTAATTCTCTAGAATTGCAAAGAGAAAATAGTTCATATATTCTAATAGAATGTTAGCGCTATTCGGTCTTTGATCTTGTACCAGCAAAGTCTGTCGCAGTCTGTAAGGGTGAGAGAGAAAGGCTCTATGTCCATCACAGTCTTGTGATGACGTTTTGGGTTGCCTCTCATGGTGTTTAGTGAGAGGACAGACACAGTGATTCCAAATTTCTTTCCTATATACTTCAACATTTCTCTTATGTCATGTTTCATAGAATAAGTCACGCACAGGAGAAACGTCACATAAGTTCATTATGATTCATGACTATATTATCTCATAACTACGCGTTAAAAAAACTAATTTTTGTGAAAACAGCAATATAAAATTAAAAATCATTTTTTTGAAAATTTTTCAAAACTTTTACATGAAAATTCCATTAGAAGACCCCCCCCCCCCTCCCTAGACAGTTTACACGCTCGAACATATGAGAAGACTCGGGTGTGTTTTAACGCAGGAGACGGGAGAGTTAATTACATCTCACTTTGTAAAGTTTTAGTCATGAAATTTGATTTAATATTCGCTATAGAAAGAGAATTTGTTTTTTCAATATATATGTATTTCGGTACGGATTCATTCGTTTGTCATGGTATGAAATAATTTCAACTGAAGAAATTTCATTAAGAACTTAGATGAAGTGATTCTTTTTACAATTTTTATTTTATTAACAGTTATATTAAGATAATTCACGTTGTTTTTTTCCCGACTTTAAAGGTAAAATTGCTAACGTTGAGCATACTAAATGATTTTAACATTTTTTTATTTTAATATCAAATCTTAATGTGATCATAATACTTGGACAAGTAGAGCCATATGATGAGTTAAGAAACTTACCTGTTCAGACTTAAGTTTCTTGTTGACTGCTACTACCATTGTCGATGTTGATTGGTTTGAATCAACGACCAATTTTTTCTTTCTAGTTTTGTTTTTCTTGAATCGTGAAGATCGAATCATTTCAATACGCATTCCAATTTTGAAACATTTTTCAAGTCGACACCAAGTACACATGTGACGATTATTCATGGTAATATGACACTTGTTACCATAGTGACATTTTGATACTTCCTAAATAAATTAATTTAAATAAAGAAAAAAAAATTGATTGCGATTGACTTGTGTATTTTCAGCATTTCGTTTAAAAAACATTTTGCATGAATGACATACAATAGCACCATAATAAGAATATCGAGCAGGAGCTCCACAAATTTTACATTCGCATGGAATCGTGTTTTTTTGTCGCTTGACACTAGAAGACAATATATGTGGTTCAGTTGACTCTTCAGTGACTGTTATTTNTATAGAAATACAATCCATACATGTCTCTCTCTCTCTCTCTCGTATTGCTCTCAGTTGATGTTGACATAGCAAGTAGCAATTATGTATATGAAGAACACAACTGTATATTGAACTGTTTCAATGTTTGTCATCACTTGTAGATTATTCTTTATTTATTGATAAGAAAAATGTCGAATATCATCACTCATTAATAACAAAAGAAACAATCAATACTTGTCATTTAGTTTTTTTTCCTTTTAGGTTTGTCTATATTATAGAATATGGCTACTACTGATAACTGGATTAAATTATATCGATGGTGTCAAGAACATTTAAAATCCCATTTTGTTTCATCATCAATATTTAATAATCATCACCAATTACATCGTCGTTCATCATTGATACCATTTCGTTCAACAAATAGTTCTTATTCAAAAAAGATCAAAAAACGTGCTTCATATAGTGAAATTGATGTATATCAAATTGGCAACAATGATTTTCGATATGTACGTGATAGTATACGTGGCAATATACCTCATGCAACACGAATAACATCAACAACTATATCTAAAGAAAGGTTAGTTCATAAGAAAGAAAAAACTTGTAAAACTTTTATGACTTTCTTTCTGATTTGTCAGGTAAGGAAATTGATAAATGTATTGTTCAAGGCTTTTGATTTCTATTTTTTTGCAAAACGGATGTAGTTTTTCGGAAATATAAGGCTTTCTTTTTTTCTCTATTATAGAAGAAGCGTATGACTGTGCATTTGATAGAAATAAAGAACATAGTTTGGAAAGAGTTTAATATATAAGTTATAATGATGAACATTGGATATGCACTGAATCCACTCTAATGAAATCGATAATCAGATGGAATTTATTTGTATGATTCGTCAATTGAATTTATAATGGAAATTTCTTTTAGAAACAAAAAGGGGATTATATTAATTAATATAATAAGATTCATTTTTCTTTTTTGGAGCGGAAAAAAAGAAAAATGCTTATTATAATTAAGGAATAGATGGATTTTCTCAATACTCATACGATCACGCTCGATGATCTACATATAGAACATTGCTTGGAATAGTTGACATTGTGCTATTCATATTAATTTTCTTATTCTAGAGAGGGGAACATTAGTTAGTAGATAAAGACAATAGACCATATTAACATCATGATATGATATGATCACATGCATATGTCAATCGAAAATCAGTGTTTTCGAAGGTCTCATTAGCTTTGCTAATCATCTAGGTAAGCCACCATCCTTGATTAAAAGTCTAGTCATTTGACTTTTATTTAGTTATGCACATGTTAAGATAAATCCCTTGATAGATGTACAAAATGGCACGAAGCATCTGTCGGTTTGATTGAATGTCTTAAGAGTGACGTAATTGATGATTGAAAGTACATATTGCCTTGATGGAATGATGAAACAAAAAAAAAGAGAGAAAACCTTGACTTATTGACACAAACTGATATCTATCTTATCTTAAATGAAGAAAAAAGATTACGTAGTACTTATTGTATATTTCTGGACTCATAATATATAAGAAACTTTTAAAAATATCTTCTAAATAATAAAGACAAGAATCTAAATGACTTTTATTTCTATTTTCTATTTCTGCTCTATCACATCATATTGATATTTTATCCAAAAAGACGAGGAATATTTTGAAAACATCTATCGCATAACTAATGAGAAAAAAGTGCTTGATTTCAATAAACCACATGTATAGACATATACAGATGCTTGTTTTTTTCGATAGCATAAACATCAAAATATAACTGATTGATTTTTTTTCTGTTGTTGACATTTATATTCAAGAATCAGACCGTCTAAGACCAACCTTGGTATTTATAAGTTTTACAGATTATCAAAAAAAAAAAAATAATAATAATTGCTTTTTTTTGTTTGTTAATGTTCGTTATATCGTATTTTACTCATTTCATCAATAGTAATATTTTAATTAAGGTATAGAATAATAAATTTCCAAAAGTAATCAACATTTCATCACTTCTTGTATTAGATACTGTTTTTTTTTCTAAATAAAACTACACATATATTAGATTGAATTATAAATTAATGTCGATATATAATAGCTTTCTATTTCTATCAGTCTATTCTTTAATGAAAACAATAGATAGAAAAGTTTGCCTGAAGCATTTGACAAAAATATATGTTTATAACGTATTATAAATGACAATGATAAATTATATTAAGTAGGTGTTTAACAGAATTTTTTTTTCTTACGTAAAACTAAATGTTAATCATACACTTTCATATCCTAATCAAAAGTAGTCTATATACTTATATTATGTAATAGGTACGTGCTTCTCTTCTTCTCTTATTTTGATCTTAGAATGAGTTCTTTTTTCTGCATACAAGAACACGTTCTCGTCATTAGGACAAAAGAAAAATAATTTCTTCTTAAAATTTGTTTATTCCACTCGTACATATTTGTCATCGATTTATTGGAAATCAATTTATTATTCATAATTGTTTTCATATTAATATGTACGTTTATATGTACTTTATTTATCATTTGAATAATTGATGAACAGTATTATATCGAACGCATTTATAGATGAAAAAGAAAAACATAATAATAAAAAAAAAACAAATATTCACTTGTTGAAACAAATTCTTAGAAAAACATCACATAGATTCTCTTTTTTTCTTTTTTTTTCTCTTATAAAAGAAATCAAAGAATTTTAATGATAATAGAAGAGATCTATTTACCTTCCAAGACTAAATATAAAGCAAAACGATATGTAAGTATAATTTGTTTTTCATCATTGATGTCGACAAGTGTTAGATTCAATACCCGAACATAGTATTTTAAGGTTAGTTCTATCATTTTTTTTGTCAATTATCACTTTTGATAATTAATTCAATTTGTAGATTAATATAAATATATCGAAATTTTATCTCGAGAGATATTTTTTTTTCAATTAATGGATTAAAGAATATGAATCAACACTTTTTGATGATTATTACCGATTATAAATATATTTTGTATAGTATTTCAGATAAAAGCTATTTTATGATAAGTATCATTTTTGACATTATGAATTGAAGTATTCTTAGCGGACTGCGTCAAGAGATACATTATTACTGTGAATCATTCTATTTCTATTAGTTGATAATGCATTCATTTACACATGGGAAATTTGAGTTAATACTAATAGAAACAGATGCAAGTACATGCAAATGACAGGTGTTTACAAGTATATGAAATGTTTTATTAATATAATTTCATCGAATCCTTTATAGAAGTTTTCTCATTTACATCGTAGACATATTCTATATGTACGAAAGCAATGATGTGTATTTTGCCTTTAGATATATTAGAAACATATTTTGGTCATCATGACACGCGTAGATATAAATGCTAAAAAGTACACTCATATTTTTCTCACTAGTCGTCTAGAAATTTGTTTTTTGATAATGACTGAATTTGATCTAATAGAAAGACATTATGTTATTTATTCGATTAAACGAATGACATCGTGTATCTAAAAAAAAAACAAGATCGATTTATTATCCATAAGTTAATATTATTTATAGGATAACCAGATAGACATAATATGTTTGTTATTAATCTTCATTTTAATAGGTTTATATATATATATATAAATATTAAAACAACACTTGATGAATATATCGTTAGTCAAAAATTTTATCTAATTCTAATCCATATGTAGATTGTATATACGATTAGTAGTTGATTTAATAATGTAGAAGAATGTTTGCATGACGTAATCATTGAGATTTAATGACAATGATGTTGACTAGTCAAGTAAAAGCTTGTCTTTCTTTTCTTATTCATTCAACTTCAGTAAGCGTAAGAAAAAAAAAATCTTTGACAATGAATCTTTTTTTTTTAATCATCTTATTTTTCATATATTTAGATATCAAGTTCAAAAAGCAACAACGTGTAATAAATCATCGGAAGAAATTTTATCTAATGAAAATAAATTTATATCTTCGAAATTAACATCGATGCATAAAAAACGTAATAATAGATCTCGCCGTTTTTCACTTGCTAAAGTTGATTTATCAGCTGTGAATTCAAATGGAACAAAAGGTTTTTAAAAATATTTTTTTTTGTTTTAAGTAATTTTAATTATTTGTTTTTTTTCTTTTAATTTGTAAAGATGAACAAAAATCAACAACGTCATCTAGTAGTTTTAATATTATTCAAAAATTACTTTTTCGACAAATTAATCCTAAAACTCGACCTTATACAATAGAAGCTTCTGTAAAGAATCTTTTTATATTATTTAATTTTGTTTATTTTTTATTAATGTTTTTTTAGTCTGATGATACTATATCTACAGCAAAAGTACCAAAGGAAACACCTACGTAAGAAAATAAAAATCTTCTAGATAATCTAAAAATTGATTCTACATATTAATTATTTTTCCAAATGTCATCTTTGTTGAATTAAGCTAATCAAATCCTCAAGATAGATATAATCATCTAGAAAGACAAAATCTTCAAAAAGATTAGTCATATATGAGATAAGAGTTGAATTTGAAATTACCATGAAGTTATTGTTCAAATCGTTAGATTTTATAGTTATTGACATTAATAAAAAAATAAAGTGAACAGGGTCTTGTCTTTTCAAGTTCGCCACAGAATACTCAGCAATCATTTCAGAGAAGAAAAGAAGAAAGAATACTTCAGTCTTTCGGCTGCATTGACATATGGAGTGTTGTCTAGCGACAGTTTCATTAGCCAAATATCTTCCTTAAATCTGATATTAGCTGTAACTCTGGACAAAAAGCCTGCCTAATGCAGAGTTCTTGCGCTTCCCGTACACACTGACTAACTACATACTAGCTACGAGGACAGATGTATGTCACAATTTGATGCGCATGCTATCGGATGAGTGATTCTGGACAAAAAGTCGTTAGTGACTTTCTCAGGATCATTTCGTGATTGATAGCATCGAGACTGGAGTACAGTATCCATTGGATACGTGCCGAACAAAGTCATCACTCAGCCAAGACGAACTTATTCAAGGAAATTAACATAAAATTGAATTAGTTTCAGGAACTGAGTATTCAAAGCAAAAATAAGATAAATTTTCTTTTGTTTTGTTCTTATTTTTATGAATATTTGTTGAATATTTTTGCTTATAATATGAGAAAGTATTAAGAGTTATTTTTCGAAAATAAAGAACATATTTCTAATTCAGCGACATGTAGAAAAGAAAAAGCAAAGTCCTAAAAGCTGTTGCATTCTACAAATCTATCGATTGTATAATAGCAAATCGGCGAAAAACACTTGAGATTTTTCTATATGAAGTCAAGGTTGTCAGTTCTTATCGTTATCAGTGTCAGATATAGATCAATTTTTTTCTGAATGTTGACTCATTCAAGATTTGATATACTTTTCGATTAACTATAAGCTGAATTTTTATGTCAAAAATTAAATATCCTTTTTTTTTTGATAAATCAAAACGAGTTCTCTCAATTATCAATAGAACAAAATCATCATCTTATTTAGTGTTCTTGTCGGACTTATATGAAGTTTGACATCAATCAGATAAATATGACACCATTCGATCCGTGCTTATCAGAATTTCACTCGAGGCCAAAACGCTTTCCGATGATTTGACCCAACTGACATCGGTATTCTGATCGTTGATTTAGAAAAAAAAATTTGCTTATAATTAGATTATTGCCAAACAGACAATTCTTTGAACGACATCTACTGACTTCAATAGAAATTATGAATCTTTTATAGATTAACAATAAATGATAAATAAAAAAATATAATGAATTAAATTCATCTTTTGATTGTATCATATTTCTTTTATTTCAAAAAATTTATACGAATAGTTTCTTTAATGCGCATTTATAATAATTAAGTTCATTTTCAGGTTCACATAACATCGATGAAATTTGTTTGATGAATTATAAGCTAATCAGAGATTATTTTAGTTAGAAACCATGAAATTTTATATGTTCCCGATTCGTATTTCTAATATCCTTTGTTAATATGAATCGTAATGAATGAATATTATTCAAGAATATTAAGATAATAATAATAACCTTAAATTTTAATAAATTCTATAAACTTTGAAAAAAAAACATTTTTTTTTGTTCTATCTTTCAATTAGTAATCTTCGAACGGCTAGTCCAGTATGTTCAAAACAGTCTGGAACTAGTTCATCATCTTCTAATAGTTCTAAACAAAATAACTGTCATGGAAGAGAACCTTTATTATCATTGCCACCTAATAAAATACAATCTAAAAGTCATCAATCGGATTTAAATTCATATTTATCTAAACGTCGTAATACAACTGGAAGTATATCATTTAATAAAATTGTTGATGCTAAAAATACATCAAGTGGAAATACTCTATTAGCAACAGCTGTTAATGCATTTAATAATTCAAATAACAAACTATCAATTGAAAGTAAAGATAGATTTTTTTTTTCGTGAATGTTTTTCAATAAAACTAATTTCAAATTTTTAAAAGAAGATATTTTTCAAACAGTCGAAGATGCAGATTTTCCTGTGACAAAACAATTAATTCAAACAAATGAAAATATTGTTAATTTGTAAGTGAAATTTACTAAATTCTATTACAAAAACAAATGTATATCATCTTTTTTTTTTGTTTTTTCTAAATTAAGATATAATGAATATGATTGGCGTCCATTGGATATTGCTATAATGCTTAATAATATTTTAATGATACAACTTCTTTTACAATATGGTGCTGAAGAAAGTTCAAAAAGTATGTTTAATTTTTAATATTTTTATAAATGAAATACTATCTAGAATTTTTTATTTGAAAAGTTCAATCGGAAAAATCTCGTTATCAAAGTGTTTGTCATCAATTATCAATTCTTAGTGAACAAAATTCTGATGATTCAATTAAAAAATCTCCATCAAATAAATTAGCACCTGACGATGTTCAAGTAGGATTTTATTTAGTTTTATATGAACAATAAAGAAAAATTGATTGAAATCTATTTTTGACGTTCTATTCACATTGGAAGAAAATTTTGAGATTATTCTTTTCATTTATTTGAGTCATAGATTATCATTGAACTAGATTTTTATACTTACAAGTATTATTTGTCATTTTCAAAACAGGAAACATAAATTCAAAAATATATTATTCATTTATAGAGCATCTGAGATGTTTAACAAGAGAAATTTTCATAAGCAAAATTCATTGTCTAGTTCAATTGAAAAGAATATTCAAGTAAAAATTAAACAATATAGTTAGATCAAATTAGGTTTTTGTGATCATTGGATAGCCTGAAATAGTACCTATCTACTAAGCACATTTGTGATCCAAAAATTGTGTTCAGCCTTCAGAAAATCAAATTAGCAAAAACTGTATATTGTTTCGCCTTTTCTCAAACCGATTTTTTCTTAAAAAAAAATTGCAGCAACTCCCTCGTTTATGTGGCCTAGTACGTTCAACTGATCTGAACATTTTTTTCATATATACTATACACTATTTGGAATAGATAATTGTTTTTTATTTCAAAACATATTGTTCTGCTGGGTCTTGGTAGCTCCTACAAAAAAAATCTCTAGTAAAAAAGATACACTTTTTAGGGCACTGTCGATATTTTAGTTTTTTTATTCGAAGGACAAAAAGATAAAAGGAAATCCAGTCATAACCAGTGTCTAGTGCCTGTAAAAAAAAATGTTCAGCTCGATCGAAAATAGCATCTTGAAGAAACAGAAACAAAAATTGAAGCAACTGTGATTCCAGCATCAGAAAATTTTGAGTCTATGAAACGTTTTGCTCTACTCGTCATGAACTATTGGACCTGAAAATCTCGAAATTTTCTGATGAGTCGTTCTTCAGAAACCCTGGAAGCGAGAGGAAAGCTACTCTTAAAAGGGATTTTGCTACCTGAAATTCGTTTTTATCTATCGGAGATGAGATCGTTTTGGTTTGAAACCGAATTGATCCCATCTAAATTTTTTGCTATGATGCATTTGTTAGTTTGTCCATCAGTTTTGCCTCAATTCAGTTCGTGTTTCAAAAAGCACATGAACCAATCCTATCTCTATTTTCTATAAAAAAACAAGTTTAAATAAAAAACTAATCATTATATTCATCATTCATACGACGAGATCTGTCAGACTAAATATTAAATTAAAGTTAGAAAATGTTTTTTTGATTTTTAAAAATATCAAACAAAAGACACCAAACATAATACCTGTTCTTCTTTTATATGCGTACTTCATCAGATGTTCTTGTCGTTTAAAAGTATCGACATGTCGCTTGTTTGCCTTTTTAAAGTTTCTGTAATACTCATATAAAAAAACAAACTAGATTAATGTTATAGAAAATCTCACGAAGTGTATTTCGATGAATATATGTACACGATGTTCCAAAAGTTCGCCGAAAAGGTTAACATAAATATCTCTTATACAACTCAAGCGATTGAAATATTTTTTTAATAATATGACAGTGTATTCTTTGAAGTTCTTTTGTGTATATTTTCAGATAAATATCAGTGTCTATCAATATTAGAATAAAAATAGCTGTGCTAATGGCCAAATTTGAGTTGCCTATCGTCGCGAAAGAAAAACTGCAAATCGAATTTGGTATATAAACGCTAGAGGTAGACTGTATTAGAGATTTTTTTCAATGCTGTTGCGAAATCAGTATAGTAGTAAATGAACAACAATGTGAAAGACCTTGAAAAATTACAGAAGAGAAAATCGACGAAGTTCTTGATACTTGTAAAAATATGCCGTTATCGAGTGTTCAGGCTGTTGCAACAGCTTGCTTCATTCTGCGAACAACAGCAGGCAGAATTATAACTGAATATGTTCCGATGAGCGCATACAATATACAATTTGTCCAACAAGTTCACAAAGAAGACTCACAAGATCGAATTGAAATTATATGACTGCAATACCGATGTTAGAAAATATAAAAAATCAAGAGAATTCGTTGTTTTTCGAACGAAGCCTTTGTTCATTCAAATGATTTATCAATAAACATACAGTAAAAACCAATGTGTATAAACTATGTATAAAAATCTGGTTGAATTCAAAATGAGAATCGATCATGAAAATAAATTTTCTCTTGCATTTTTTTAAAGATTTCGCAAATGATGAATTTAGATATTTCAGTTGATGGTAATCGTTTTAATTATTTGTTGTCAATCGAATTATACGAAATAAAACTTTAAAGAACATGTTATCATATGATTAAAAAAAAACAGTCAAATTGCTTAAAATGTATAAGACATATTTACGTTAACTTTTTTCGGCAGACTTTTGGAACATCCTGTATTGTTTAAAATATGAAATAATTAATCAATTTTTTTCTTTAGTCGCGTCGTTCATCACCATTATCTGACAAACAACAACGTCGTCGTCGTACAAGTAAAAGTTACCAACAACAGCAACTCAATCAACAACGTTCATTAACATTAATTCAAATGAAAGATAATTATGAACAAACAGGTAAATATCACAAGATATAAAATAAATGACGTTGTTCTTTTATATTTCTATTGATTTTTAAAAATATAATTAGATTCGTGACAAATAAAACAAAAAGAATTTTCTTTCGGTAATAAATACGAGAATGTAAATCATAGGGTACTATTGCTCTATTAAATTAATCAATCTAAAATCTTTTCTCTGCACTCAAATAACACGTATTTGTAAAAATTCTTAAAAAATGGATGCTGGAAAAAAATTCCGTTCTTCTCTATTAGCTGTTAAAATTGCAGTTAAAATTTTAGTAGAATCTAAACGAAAACATTCAGAATTTTATTATCAAAGATGTAAGTTGTTAATATTAATAATAACTTCTATTAAATTTAAATTTAGATGTTCCTGATGCACCAACAAATGTTCGTTTAATGGTTTCTGGTTCAGATAATATAACTGTAACATTTGATGAACCACTACGATCTAATGGAGCTATGATTATTAAATATAAAAGTAAAATTGAATTTTATCGAATATTATTGTATTATTATGAATTTTATTTAGTTGAATGGAGTACAGATGAATATTTTAATCAGATATCATTTGATATAATTAAAAATTGTTTTCTAAGAGAATATATTATTCGAAATTTATCTGTCGGACAAAAATGTTATGTACGAGTATCAGCTGGAAATATGAAAGGTTTCGGTGAAGCAAGTATTGCTAATCCACCTTATTGTGTCCCATCAAGTATGTCCTATGATATTGTTTAAATGAAGAAATACATTTTGATGTTTGTTAAGATTGGCGAGAATTTTCTAAAACATCACGTACAAATATATACGAATTACGTTTTGAAGAAATTTTAAATAAAATTTTCAATGAACGAGAAGGAAATGGAATAAGTAGGTCATTAGAAGGAAATGGTAAATTTTATTTGGAATATTTGATAAAAAAAATTATTTACTTATTAATAAATAGATTCATCTGATATGTCAAATAGAAGAAATCCTCGTCGAAGTTATGGAAATCTTCGAAAAAATCTTCGACAATTATTTCAATTTTATCCTAGATTAGCAAAAACAATAAAACGGTATGAAGAGTTTTATTGAAAAGAAAAAAACAAAATTAATTGATTTTATTTTTGTTTTTGTCAGAGGCCTTTATTTAGTATCAGTTATGTTAAATAGTGACCGAATATTAGTAACTAATGAAGATGTTTTACCAATGGTTGAAGTTGATGAACATTATAGTCATAATCTATTAACAGATTTTCAATGGTTTATGAAATTAACATTTGTTTGGGATGATTTAAAAAATTTAAGACCTAAATTAGAACGATGTTCAAGTGCAACTTCATTTTATTTAAGAATGAAACTTGTTCAAGCAGCAATTGAACTTCAAGTAAGACAAAAATTTAAACGAAGGCTTTCGAAATTGAATTGGAATCAATTTTTACTACAGATAAAGCATCTGGAACAAGGAGACATGTGTTAGAAAAAAAAATTTCAGGAAAAACTCTGGTTTTCTATAGGACCGAATCCTGGTACATAACGACTCTTATCAAACTTTATTCGATTCGGCTGAAAGTATTTTTGAAGATATCTTAGACTATATCTCAGATGTAGTTTTGAGTGTTTTGGAAAATCTAGTTTTCATTTTTTTATAATGACAGAAAAATGTAAAGATTTGCTGCCGAATCTGTCGTTTTACTTTTCAGAATCCTTCATATTATTCGGATAGAAAAATGAAAAAGGAAAACGGTCAATTTTACCTATGGAGAATTCTTCTTAGTATCTGTGGTCTAAATTTCAGCCTGATCAGACAAAGTTAGAGGGCGGTCGTAAGCAGCCAGAATTGAGAAAACTGATGATTTGCATTACGCTATGTAAAAGAAAAGATTTTCAATATGATTAGAATAAAAAACAAAAACATTTCTTAAATTCTGTAACTTGGTAAGAGTAAATTATTTCGAGTCGAATAAGTCTCTCTAACTGCATATGACTTTTGAGGTTATAATACTCTATTAAGTCACATACATAATCGCAACGAAATAAAAACTTCCACATCTTAGAAACCAAAACTTGGTTATAAAGAGACATTGATAATCTAGAGCATCAACACTGTGTTGCTTAAAGAGAAGCAAACTGACTTTTAGGATAAGATCCTACGGAGTCAAACATTTCGACTTGACAAATATTTTGTTGACTAGTTTCTCTATTTCTCTTTGTGCTACTTGCTTATGAGAATGTCTCTCTGATCTTTCTTTTTCTCGAAACTTATTGATGTATCTATAAAGTAGTGTATTTTTCGTTCATTATTTAACATATGAAGAATAAACTTGCTACTATGTAAAAGTTAAACTACTTGACTGTTTTATTGATGTAACTCCAACATTGACTGCGAATTGGTCGAAATCGAGTTTCGAAGCCCGATGCTGAATGCTACTTCTGAGTTTTGTAAATATACATACTCTTTTATTTTTTAGCAAAAGTGACTTGTATATTATAATCAGATTCATAGAGCATATGTTCAGTTGTTCTGCGATATGTTCGAATAAGAACTTATTCTTTTGAATTATTGATTCTTTCATTTTATGTCTCAGACAAATAGTCATTTGTACTTCAGAAATTGAATCGAATCGAATTTTACTGGTTCAAATTCGGTTCGGTTTGTTTTCAGTCTCTGCTGCATTCTAGGACGATATGTCAGCATATGTATATATCCTATTCTGAGATGTAAAAATATAAATCATTTTCAAGGAATTCTACGATAATTTATTGTTTGATTGAATTATTTATAAATAATTGACTAAACTATTTAGACATTAGAAGAAATAAATAATCTTGGTCGTCTTCATCATACATATATTCGTGATAATGATGGTAATGTAGTATTTGTATTAATAAATGATTTATCTTCTGATACACGAACAAATATTTATCCATCAAATTTAAAATGGATGGCAATGACAAAATTTTTTGAAATAATGAAAGAATCTCCATCATTAACAAATAATTCTTGTCTTCAACAAATAATTGGAAAACTTCCAGTATGCATAAAAAAAAGATATTTCTTTTTGTCTTTTTTTTTTTATATATAAATATTTATTTTTAAAAGGATATGGTTGAATTTTATCATGCATCAATGCGTTGCCTTGACTCTGGTTTATATGTTGCCTATTTAAAAATGCAAAACAGTGTTGATTCAATACGTGTTATGGTTAATAAATATATGCCCGGTTCATTACCATGTACAAAAATTCGTTCTGTAGCTAATGTATCTAGGTAATTTATTATTTTTGTAATTTTTTGTTTATTAGAAACTTTTTTGTATTTGTAGAGAAGAATGGGAATGGTTACATACAAGTAATAAGGAAAATTCAATAGAAGATGAATCTTCAGATAATAGTCTTGATCTATTTAAAATTCAATTTTGTAATGCAGCTAGAGAATTATTTATTAAGCTTAGTAAGATTTTGAAAAAAAAAAGACTAGATGAAAATATGTTAAAATAATAAATTTATTTAGATCTTCCTGAAACACATTTTTCGAATAGTCGAATATATGGTTCACAAGTTGTTGAAATTCGTGATGATTTATCATTAATTATTTTAATGTCAACTGCTGATGAAGTTAATTTTCTTTCTACACCATCAAATCATTCTCTTACATCCTTTATTTATTTACCTATATATATTTTTGAAGTTTGTAAGTGTTCATTAAAGTACAAAGAAAAGTATTTTATTAATTTTTTTTCAATCGTTCAGATAATTTGATTATACTTGATAAAACTTCATTGTAAAGCTAGAACAAATACTAGACCGAAAATCGTACAAATATTTATGAATGATATTTTGATGTATAGAAAACTGCATTCTCAAAGACTTTTTCCAAACGGTTTCTCTTAATGTATTATTTTTATCGCAAATAATGATCGTAGAAGATAGCGGCAGAAACTTTGGCATACAGACAAGAGTATTTTGCACTTTTTTTGTTATAATTAGCCAAAAAATTTCACTATAATAAAATTCGTTGTTTTCAATTATTTAAGAGGTACCTACAGACTTTAAAGACGTATCAAATCATGAACTTCATCGATGTAAAGATCACCTAGTCATCAGAGCATTTTAAAAGTTCCAAGTAAAATAAATTAAAATTTTGAGCATACTTCAAGATCTACTAGCCGTATTGATAAGCAAAATCTCAACAAAAAATAATACCTGTGGAAGAAAATTACATGGATATAGGCTTCTCGAAACTTTTGTTTTATTCTCATTAAGATCTAATTCTATTTGTAAATCCTCTTCCGACTTATATTTAGACATTTAATATTATCTAATGTTCTTTAATTCTCATTTTAGTTCAACATTTAAGTAATAATTATCGCTTTATATGTCAATATAGTCGTGTATCTATTTGTCTTGATTTTGAATTAATATATGCTCAACAAAATCAACGTGAAGCATTTTCAATAAATGAATTAGATGAAACACGTCATCATCTTAATCGTTTATTATCATGTCAACAAGATCTTGATGATATATGGCGTTCATCACGTTGGCTTGTTCATGTTATAAATTGTGCTAAAGATAAAACATATTCTGGTATATCACTTAAACCATTTCAATCATCAACAAATTTAAATGAAATAAAAATTGATCAATCACCATCTTTAACACGTTCATCAAATTCAGATAATTATTTAATAACGAAAAATATTAATAGTTTTATTGATATTGAAGATAATACAATTGAATTAACATTTTATAGATCATTATTAACATCAAATACATATATTCCATTTAAATTACGAATAAATAAAATGACACGATTAAATGAAATTTTAAAAATCATTTTAAAACAACAACAACAACAAGATATTTTTTTAAAATCAAATTCATTTTTAGAGTTTGTTTGGATACGATCAAATGAATGTGAATATATTATTGAAGAAAATTTAACAGCCTATGAAATTCAAACACGTCTTTTACGTTTTGGTGGACAAATTCATTTACGTTCAAATAGTTCATCATCATCAAATTCATCATTAATAATTAATAAAACATCAAATTTATTTCCGCCTACATCAGAAATCATTTCAAAAGGGCCTGGATCAAGTTTAAGTTTGAACATTTAAAAACAAATGTTTTTCTTTTTTTTTGTATAAATTATCAATAAATGTTATGTGATATCATTTGAAATGAACAATTTATTGAGAATTTAAAAACCTGTTTGTGAAGTTTCCATTCATATGTCTAAAAGCAAAATGAACAGTGGGCATATTTATTGTTTTAAATTGAAATATGTATTATAATTTTGTTCTATGTAAGACCGATTAAGTATTTTCAAATGTATATTAGAATGCATTTCTGATTGATATTTATTTATTTAATTCACAGAGATGCAATCAGTCAGTATAAAATACACAAGTTAATTCGACTTTGCACTGTTATTAATAAGCGAATATGACGAACAACGAACCCAATATTTTCTCGTATTGTTTCAGAGTCACCACTGGCTCGACCAGAGGACACTGGGAGTATCACATCTCCTAATCATGAAAAGTGATTGCTTTTTTCTAATAGAACCGAAAGTTTTCTTGCATTTTCTTTAAAAAAATGTTTACATTCTCCAGTAAAAATTACGATATCCATCTAGATGAATCCTATCCCGAGTTGATGTTAGAGTGCAATTAAAATCGAAGTTTGTTGTTATAATTTATACAATATGAAAATAATTTTTTTTTACTCAAAAAGTTCTATCAATTCATAGCATTTTATGAAAGACCATACACATAAAAAACTTATCAGAGTTTTGTTGAACCTACCGGAGTGTAACTTCTATTATTCATGTTGTTTCGGGTCTTAATATGGATTCGTTTGTTGTTGTTAGTCATTAATTCGTGACTTCATGCAATAGGACAAAATTTTGAAGACTTATTTTGATAAAAATAACTACTTTAATCAGTGTTGCAAAAGTTCTGCATTAGAATTCTGTTCTCAGTATAACATGACAACAAATCGTCGTAGAGACTTGATAGTTTTCGTATTAGTAAGAAAAAAGTCTCTGCTATAAAGGTATGGTAAAATATTGATTTAACATACTTCTCGGAGGCTGAAAATTTTTACGAGTATATTTAGCTGGAAACGGTACCTTACAACTTTACACATAATCAGTGATGAGAAGTGCATTGGATCGATTTGTCTGGCAGTTGACTTTCGAAATTTTCTAATAATATTGGAATATTCAAGTTACAAAACTACAACTTCCATAGGAAGCAGTTGTATTAAAAATTTAATTTAACCTCGACAATACCCAATGAAGTCTTTCTCATTATCTCTAACAGAAAAACTGTATTCTGTTTTATTTAATGTGCTTTTGTAGAGACTCACTAAACTCTAATTGAACATAAAATATGAGATTTCACTAACTTCGATTGCTAGAAAAAATCTTATTTTTCGAAATGACTTATTTGTTGTAAACACTTTTCGCTAGCAAAGGATGTTGAAAAAATGTCGATTTCGAACTTAACCAATAACTTGAAAATATTACTTTTACCTGTTTACAATATCCTCTGGTAGCGCTACGAAACCTGATAAAAGATAAGTAATAAGGCGAACTTTCTTGGATGTGCTTTAGGTGTGAAGTTCTCCCTTTAGTCACAGTATGACCCGTATCCACTCCATTCTCTGCTCTGACTATTCTTTCGAAAAAATAAAACAAAAGGAAAATATATTCTATTATTCAATCATCAATATTGGACATGTTAATTGGAATAATTTATCAAAAGGTTGAGCAAAAACTAATTGAATTTCTTTTGCTTTTCTTAATTTTGTGATATTTTTTATTATTGATTATGTATATTCCTATGCAAAAAAGATGAAAATCTATGTTCATTTTTGTATTTGATTATTCCATTACTTTTTTTATAAAAAAAAGAAATTGAATTATTGTCATTTATTATTGATACAATCTGTTTGTTATTAGTTTACTATACTAATTCATTTGTTGATAAAATCAAAGATTAAAAAATGAAGAAACTGTAGATTTTGAGGTTTATGTGAGTTCCATTTATTGTGATATCTCGATTATGATGACAAGAGAAGAAGAAGAGAAGAATAGAAGATACAAGAAAAATGACTAGAGAGCAAGACTATGAATGCGATATCTCCAAAATAGAATAAAACGAACACGAACATATATAAGAACAGATTGGGAAAATTTCCAATAGCAGAAACATGGATGACTAATGTTAAAACGTGATTGATATATATATACAGTTATAATAGAGATGGAATAGTCAATGACAGAGTTAAGACCCATCACACAGTTCTTTTCGAATATACATATTGAAAACTAGTATCAAGTGATAGTGCAGACGAAGTTCATTTTCTTCAACCATTCTATGCATCTATGAACGTTTCATTTCATTGTTTTTGTACAAACAGATAACTGTGGTTATCAATTAACCGTCATGATAACGTTCAAATTTTTAAAACAGAAATGATTTAAAAAAAACATGTGTTCGCTAATAATCTAACTTATTCATTCATAGAAACTATTGGCCATTTCAAAATAAAAGGCACGTGAGTATTTTTCGAATAACTTTTGATAGGAGTAAGATAGAGAGCTGCGGTTTGCACCATTGGAAAGAGGAGATCAAGATGCATCGAGTTGTATAATGTAAGTTTTTTCTAATAGGCTTTACAACGTTTTCTTAGTCAGTTTTCTAAAAATATATCGAAAAATTGAGCCCATATTTTTTGAGAAAAACGTAAAAAAGTGATTTTTTCCGAAGAAAGTAATAGAAAAATCGGCTAAGAATTTCCACTAAGATACTTATAACTTCTGAATTGATATATCTAAAAGTATCGGCTTTGCGTATACTTTGTAGATCTTCTGTTAACGGTTCAAATGCACACGAAATTATTGAAACACCACTTTAGTCATCTTACGAAATATGTTCGTTTTCAAAAACGTCACATTAAGTATTTGAGAAAACTATGTGAAATTATCTTATAATATACAGTTCGATGCGTTTCCATCTCCTCTTTCCAATGGTGAAAACCACAGGTCTCTATCTTGCTTCTATCAAAAGTTATTCAAAAACTACCCACGTGCCTTTTATTTTGAAATGGGNCAATAGTGGTCAAATAGCATAAAAAGATAGAGTGAAAGACGCTCTATCTATTCATAAAAAAAGAAAATTTTTTCAAGCTTTCTATAAGAAAAAAAGGAACCTCCGTCACTACTTTTGGATAGCCCTAAGTATAAGAGAAAGGGGCTTGCATGGAAAAAAGATTGAAATGGATCAAAATTATTGAGATGGCATGCACTAGAATTATGTTCAATAAGATACTCAATTGAAGAATAGTGTTATTGATGATTTTGATGGTTCATTAAAAAATAATAGTTTCTATATGAAACGATACATAATTAAATGCTCTTTCTGATGAAGATAAATTTGAGTTTTCAATATTTTCAAAAGCTTGTCTATTTTGATCGAATGCTGAACCACTATGAATACATTTAGAACACATCATAGGCCTTAAAAGACCCATACAGGGGTCGCAGCGAGGGGGTATCAAAAAGAAGGATTTTAAGAAGGAATTTTTTTTTTTAAAGTAGGAAATTTAAGAAAAAGAAGGAAAAGGAGGAAAAGAAGGAATTTTTTCAAATATACTATTGTCAAATCAAAATGAAGGTAAATCAAGCAAACATGAAATAGAGCTGAATTTTAGATTTTACTTTTCCTCGAAGTAAAATGAGCCGACGCATTCATTGAAGACACGCTGGAAAATCTAAATTAATTCGGCTATGTGATGACTTATTGTAGAAGACGATCTTTTTGATAGCATCTCGTTATGACGAGTAAATGTTGTTGTTACTGTCTTTTCGTCCAAAAACAGATTTTTCTGCACTGAGTTTAGCAAAAGGTGCTAATGTGAGAAGATTGTTGTTTAATTTGGCTTTTGTATTTTACATGTCGTCTCTTCTTTGAAAAAAAAAGAATTTTATGAAAGAGAGAAATCAGTTTACGTAAACAGATGACATTAATTCAAAGAATAAGAGAGAGTAAACATATAAAAGAATGGCAATAGTTGACTTATGCCCCAAACAGACTGAAAAAAATAAGACAAATTGAAACTGAATTGACGAATTCATCATCAAGCATAGATAATTTAGGTCAGAACAGATTAGTCACGTTCTTTAATTCAACTTTAATTCACTTTAGTCTGTGTGGGCCCTTAAATGAATAATCAGACAGATATAAAACGATATGTTGCATAACAATGGCTCATTCAAATAATAAGGGTAATGCACTGTCACACACGACGGCCTATTCCGCTCATGAATGAGAAGGATATATACTCACCACAAACACGTCGAGTTGAATTGCTCTTTTATTTATGTGTAAATGAACACACGTTTGCTCAAGAAAAGAATAAATATTCCACATATTTGATAAAAATACGAAAACATATCAAATGCCGTATGATACTTTTTTTTCAACAAAATGGTTACAAAAAACCGATTCTACAGGCAAACCATGTTCTATTTGGTTACGTCCAGGTAAAGAAAAAACTGCATTTATATGTACTGTATGTAACATCGAATTAAGCTGTGCCAATGGAGGCTGGACTAACGTAAAGAATCATGCAGAACGACCAAAGCATATGCAACGTCTGAAAGACGTCATGGAATCTCATCAACTCATTTCTTCTAACCACATCAGTACCATCTACAAGTACTAATTCTACTGAAAAACAGTCGTCACATACTGATTCATCGATATCAACAAACAAACGGTCTTTCGTCATATTGAACAACAACACAGATCGGGCATTGACACACGATGAAAAGGTGTCTCGCGCCGAATGCTATTGGGTAATGGCAACAGCTCACCTCGGCTTCAGCTATGCTTCATCGAAGAATATTCCTGAATTATTTACATCGATATTTCCTGACAGTAAAATAGCTACCGATTATGTAATGAAAGATCGAAAACTTTCGTATATGATATCACATGGAACTGGTCATTATTTTGTACGTGAACTTGTTAAAGATGTTAATAAAGCTCCATCCTACTCGTTACTTTTCGACGAAACTACTATTGTTGGAGTACAAAAACAATTGGACTTACATATTCGATATTGGAGTGAATACAAGCAATGTGTTGTTACACGTTATTGGAAAAGTATTATGCTTGGACATGCAACAGCAGACATCATTAGTCGCCATATACTCGATTCATTAAAGTCCGATGGAATCGATTTGTGTAAACTTCTTCAATTGGGTGAGTAAATCTTTTTCTTATTTACATAGATTTCCTTCTGTCCTTATAGGTCGTGATAATCCCAATGTCAATAAAGCGGTTGAAACTATGATTGACAAAGAACTACGATCTGAACGAGAGAAAAAGTAAGTGTTTCAAAGCAGAAGCAGAAGAAAGATTATTTCCGTGTTTTATATTTATTAGAACTGGACGTGCACCAGCTAATGGATTGGTTTCTATCGGATCTTGTCCACTTCATGTCATTCACAATGCGTTCAAACACGGTTTTACACAAAATGAGTGGCAAGTCGAAGATATTCTTTATGAATTTTGGTTTTTCTTTTCTAGATCATCGGCCCGTCGTGAAGATTATTTAAATGTAGTTGATTCTATTGGTGATAGTGTTGGTCGTTTTATGAAACGATTTGTTATTACACGGTGGATAGAAGTCGGTCCAGTTATCGAACGAGTTATTGACCAATGGTCAGTTCTTAAAGAATATTTTCTTGTTTATTTACCAAAAATTAATAAAAACATTATTAATAATGATAGATGGAAAAGAATTAAGAATCAGCTCGACCAACAGCAAACACTTGTTCGTTTTCAATTTGTTCTTTATGTGTATCGACATATATTCTCGAAACCTTTAACATGGCTTCAGCAAAGCGAACCATTAGTCCATGTGTTATTCGAAGAATGCAGTGATTTATTTCGTAATGTATTGATTAGTTTCATTAAAGATGATTTAATAATGAATAAAACCGTAAAACAATTATTTTCAATTACACTCGATTCTCAAGCCAATCAAAAACTAGATTCCAAACTCGAAATTGGTGAAACTACACGAAACGAACTTAAAGAAATGTCAACTAATGACAAAGCCACGTTTTTCAGCGATGTTCGTCTCATTTATTTAACCATAGCCGTAAGTATTCATCAATAATTTAATGAGATTGAAATTGATAGAACATTTTGAACGACATATCTCGGTAAAAAGAAAAAGAACTTATAGTATTTTCTGTAATGGAACACTTTCACTAAGAGTAAAAATGAATCATAAGAACTACACGAAATGTAGTTGATAAGCACGACTATTAAATAAAGAGTGGTGTGACAGCTATAGCTTATTAAAATGTCACATTATCTGATAATGTTTCTTCCATTATTTTAGCAAACACTAAAACGTACATTGCCGCTGAACAATGAATTTTTACGACATGTTCGATTTATTCATCCACTTTCACGACAGCACGAATCTACTCGTAATAGTATGATGATTGTGGCACGTGAATTACCTCATTTATTGTCCGACGATGATCTTGATCAATTGAGTGCTGAATGGCGTTTATACGAAAATGAAACCATTCCAAATGAATGGTACGAGCACAAAAGCATCGGTGTTGATTCTCGAGAGATCATTAAGTATCATCCTGTCGATTATTATTGGAAATACATCTTCGCAATGAAGAACAGTTCAGGTAACACCAAGTTTCTTATTTTATCTAAACTCGTCAAGAGTATTTTATCATTATCACATGGGAACGCCGACGTGGAACGTGGCTTTAGCGAAAATGCGTCGCTTGTTACTGATGATCGATCGTCCTTAAGTAATGCTTCCATCAATGGACTTCGAGCAACTAAGGATGCCGTCAAGTTTTATGGGTCAGGGATGGTACACGAAGTAAGTAAGACAATTAATCAATAACTTATTATTATTAATGTGATTGGTACTTGGTAGGTTCCTATTTGTAAAGGCCTTCTTGATAGTGTCAAAGATGCCCATTCTCGTTATCATGCTGATCAGGAAAAGATGCAGCGATTAATTAAAGAAAAGGAAGAAGCTGAATCTGCTGCAAAATTACTCAAGGACAGAGAACTTCTCTTAATTGAAAAAGAACAGAAACTTATTGATGAACGCAATGTCTTACAACGTGAATTGGATAATGCATCGAAAATGCTTGATGAAGGTAACTCACGTCTTGAAGCTGCTGTTGCAACCAAGAACTTTGGTGATATCGAAGTGGCACAATTACTCATTGGAGGTGCTAACAAGAAACTGGACGCGTTAAAGACGCAACTCAATTATAACAGCGAACGGATGAATCAACTTCGAAAGAAAGTGAAAAAATGAATGAAAGCATGGCATAAAAAAGTTGAAATTTATAGATTAATGAACTTGTAAATAAATAATTTATATTTTGAAAGAGTGATTGTTTCAGTAAATATTTTTTTCCACATATGTAGAAATCTCAACAAAGTACGTGTGCCTGCCGTCGATATAAACATTCTCTTAGCATAACAGATAAAAAAGAAGGAAAAGAAGGATTTTTATGAAAAAGAAGGATAAAGAAGGATGATGCTTAAAAAAAAGGAAAAAAGAAGGAAAGAAGGAGGTTTGCGAGGCCTGGGCCCATATGATATTTTACAACATTTTGAGCGCAAAACAAGCTTCAATATGCATAGTTTTACTTTAATTTGGTTTAACAAAACTACCCTCACTTTTAAAGAACGAATTGCCGATGAACTCTTAGACTTCCATTTTCCATTGTTTATACACCCCCGCCCTTTTCAATTAATAATATCAATATATAAGATGATTGTTCATGCAACATTGAGGTTTCACTTATTGATCCAAAAGTACTTCGAATAAAAATCGGCAAGATGATAAATGTTGATAATTTCGATGAAAAAATGAATATACTTTTCGACAAATCTATATATTATCATGAAAATATCGATGATAAATGTCATAATACCATATAACAATCGTAATGTGATGAAATCTAAGGTTTTTCATTCATACCGTACTCATCCTCAGTACATAGTGTATATGTATTCCATTAATCATTTGAAATTTGTTTTATATGATTTCAATTGAGAACTCTGAAACGTAATGAATCTCATAGTATCAATAGCGACACTATTTGTACATCATAAATTTATAAATTTAATTAATATACTTCGTTCTTTTAAATGAGATTATCTATCAGAAAAGCAATTAAATTCTCTCACAAACTTAATTGTTAAAATCCAATTATATGGATTGAATAAAAAACATAGTATAGTAATGTGTATTGAAATCTATGAAGATATTCTCCAATTGAATTGAATTTGATATTAAAAAATTTTTCATCTCATTAGATATTGACAAATATACTTTTTTTTTTAGAAAACTCGAAGTGAGTATATATTTTGTCTTACACAATCCCATCTTTTTTGTTGTTTTTATAAAAACTTCAACAAAATTCGATTAATATACATCGAAAAATCAATAAAAAGATCGTTGTTTATTATTCTTATTTCTCTTCCGTTGCCTATCGCACGTATATTCTTTCTATATTTTATTTTTTGGTCAATATTGAAAATCAACAGTCTGATATGGAAGAAAAAAAAAATGTCCGATGCGCATTTCTTCATATTTTCGGCAGATATGAATTTTTTTCGTCATATGGGTTCATTTGACAGGAAAATATGAATAAAGATAAATTTTTCTCGAACACATTACATTAGATGTGCCATTATTTTCGTATTGAATATTTTTTCATACAGTTAACATTTTTTCTTTCTTCTTAATATAAGAAAAAAGTTTTATTATTCTTTTAAATACTCTTGATTGAAGAATATTTTCATGAATTTTGATTTGATTATTATCATATGGTAATTCAAAAATATTTTATTTTATTAAAATAAAAAAATAGACTATGTTAGGGATGTACCGAGACCGAGAGCTCGGTCTCGGTGCGTCTCGGTCTCGGTCAGTCTCGGTCTCGGCCCAGTCTCGGTCTCGGTCCGTCTCGATCTCGGTCTCGGTCTGTCTCGGTCTCGGTCGGTCTCGATCTCGGTCGGGGTCGGGCTCGGTCGGT